ACGAAGACGACGAAGACGACGAAGAAGAAGACGACGACTGCAACTACTACTACTACTACTACTACTACTACTACTACTATTACTACTACTACTATTTCTCCTACGCCTACGATGAATGTGACTATTATAATCACTGGTACAATCACTTTTGCTATGACTAGTGCTAGCTGCAATAGCCGCCAGCTTCACTACCATGCCGCGACCATACCACGCTTAGGATGCCTTTCACTTCACTGCCCGTATGAATCTCCAAGCTTTAGTTGAAGAGCAATCTCATTATATCAAACAGAATTACTTCGGCAGAAACCATCAACAGCACTACCACGACTACAAATGCCGTGCTATTATTATACGTCAACCTCGACCAGCTTGGCATGTGCAACAAGAGAAGTCTTGGTGCGGGGCCCCCTGCAGTGGTCGGCTGCCCGACTGAGAGCCTATCTTGCTTTATATTGGGGTCTTATTGGGATAATGGAAAAGAAAATTGAAACTACTATAATAATATAACAGGGGTTATACAGGGGTTATATTGGGGTTTTATTCTCTGCGAGTGAAGTTACAAGCATTTGCCAGCATAGGTGCATGCTTGAAGATTCCCCAACGTGGGCCCGTTCTTCTAATACGCCTTAACATGCCACTGGCTGGTTGCCGCAAAAGCGCCCATTGGGCTCGGTACTTTTTTCAGAAAGGATCCAAACAATCGATCCAGAGAATGAGTATTTCTTCATGCAGCCAAATCCCCGTTTGATGAACTCCCATTTCTTCCACAGGCGAGCTTATCGAGGCGCTGCTTCTTTGAAGCCGTTCTCGACGCTTTCATTTGCATTCTCCAGATATGGAGGGGTTGTCGAAATCATGTTAGTATGCCTCAGACAGGACCATCATTTTGATAACCTCCCAATATGACAGCTTCCAAAAACTCATGGGGCTCCGTTTCAGTGACCAGGAGCATATACCAAATCAGCTCACTTGCAAGGGATTTCCCAGGTTTGTGCTGGGCCTGTTGGAATCCCTCATTTTTGGAATCTGCCATATTCCCGGCCGCGGTTAAGAAACCTGGGCTTGCTACCGGTAATGGAAGTGGACACGTAGATGTCCCAGTGCTCCACCAGCATCCCCAAGCTGTTTGTAATGTTTCTTTCCGTGCGCTTCGTAAGGCTAAGAATCGAAACTAGAATCTACAAAAGAAAAAGACCCAGACCTCTGGACCTACATTGCTTTCTTACATTTGCATGCCTCGCAAATTGCCCCAAGTGCTGAAACCAGTTTCCTACCACGAATGGTTGGTCACAATCATCTGCTGCGCGGCTAATTCTCAAGCAACTGCAAGCAGTGCGATCTTCCTATAGCAGTAATGATGACGAATCGCATCTGGCACAGATAGCCAGGTTTGGCTTGCCACGGCCGGGCTTCTCTGGAGGATTCATCTACTTTCTGTCTGCGTATGTGCCGGCAATGATGCACTTTCAGCACACAAAGCAGACAAAGGAGCACCCTTGCAGCTTGCAAAGGGTCCATCCTCCGTCCAACACTAACCAACTGAAACGGAGGCACTCCGAACCTTTGGGAAATGCCTCAGGCCCACAGCTTGCGACCAACGCACCCCAGGCTCTACTCTCTCACCCTAACAACAAAAAATAGCAGTAAACAAAAATCCCAAGTTTCCAACTTATTTTCCATTATCCAAATATAAGCCTTGTATATCCCCAAAAAAACCATATATCTCACATGCCATGCCTACTGGCTGATGCCAGGGTCGCACATGATGCCAGTGCTAATGTGCCGCAGCAAAGGGCAAAGAGCAACGCACAAGCCTGCCATGCAAACTGAGCAACCATCCAAACGACAATCCCGGGAATTGCAATGAGAACTGCATACCTACTCTGACGGGTCGTAGCCTGCTAGAGGAGTCTATAGACAACGATAAACATTCAAGCCCTCCAATGGCCCTTGTCCAAAGCTTTCAGCACATGTTCGAGTAAATCCCTACCTGCTGCTGTTAACTCCTCGATGAGCAGTACCAGGATAGGTCATTCGCGTAATCATGCCGATGGGATCCAACCGGAAGATTGTTTGACAGTAGGGGGAATGATTCCTCAAGCGATCACAGGATCTTCGATCCCTTGGATTCCCACTGACTGATGTGGGGGAGTCGAAAAGGACTATGAGGGACGCGTCTAACAGTTCTACTGCCAGGGTACTGTTTGCAGAAACTCCCATGCCATGTGTGCCTGCTCTTTGCTAATTAGCTGCGTTCCACTGCAGAATCATCCAGAATCACGTAAAGCCGAGGCGGACAAAGGCAGGATCTAGACCCGCAGTTTGAAACGTCATCCTCCTCCTTCTCCCAGGAGAATCATAAACCAGAACATGAATCATGAACCTGTTTTGCATACACATCGGGATTGGCAGCATTTCACCCATCAATACCATATAATTTACCCCACAACCCTTTTCCTATATTGGCATTGTCCATGAACAGGGACCCCCAAACTCGACCCGAATATCTACTCCAATCCGTCAAACCCCGATAGGTGTCCCGACATGAAAAGGGTACCTCCAAGAACAAACCCTTTTAAACCAGGACTCTCTGAGGTGCCTGTAGCGATCCGAAGGGGTGTCAGCCAGCAGAATCACTGAACCCTGAAGCATAAACCCTGTGTCATGTATTGAGGCATGGAGCCGGTATTTTGGGTCCTAAATCCTGAGCCCTATGACCCCTACCCTAAAGCCTCACACGCTGGGGCTTGATATTGGTGGTTGTTCAGGAGTTTCCAAATAGAGGTCGACTGAATGTAGTAATCCTTTTTCACCCAGGCCTCTGCAGAAATAATCTTAAAGAAGGAATCCAAAAAATGGAAAAAGGGACCCCTCTCTTCCGGAAACGCCATATTTGCATTTCATGTTCGATTCTCGTCCATGTAATTCTCCAGTTGCGGGGGGAGGGGGGGGTGTAATGCATCCACCTAAATCCTGAATCCCAGACCCTAAACTCTCTAATAGATAGATACATATATATATATACATACATCCATATATACGTGAATATATGTATATATGTATATATGAACATTCAAAAAAACATGAACATGCATATATATATATATATACATATGGATATCTACATATATACATTCATATGTATATATATATATATACATATACATAGACACGTATATATATATATACATGTATTCATATGTGTATATATATATATATTCCTGCTATACAACCCCTAGCTTTACAAGCCGCACATAATCACCCTAAACCCTAAACTCTGAGCTCTACATAAACCCTAGGTTCCTGGGAGGCCACTCACAAGCCAAAGGTTTCTGGCTCCACCAGCTTTCCACCAGGACTCGGCTGCAGAAGTCTTAAAGAGGTGACGGTTTAGGGTTTAGTCCCCCTTAAGTAGATAAAATATAGGGTATATGGGGATCTTATTAAAATATACCCAAAGCTATATTCTATCTACTTAAGGGGGACTATGGGGTTTGGTGTTTAGGGCTTAGGGTTTGGGGTTTAGGGGTCAGGGTTTAGGGTTTAGGGTTTGGGTTTAGGGTTTTGCCACTGGCACGGTTGAGGCAGCATCGCAAGGTTCAATCCCGAACGTCCAACTTGAACTAGAAGCGACCGGCCTCCATCAGAAGCTCCGACCCATAAACTCCAAACAGGCTTCAATAGACTCAATAAGCAACACCTCCAACCCCTCGATGGAGACCTGCAAAGACGGCTTCGTGGTACCAACAAAGCAGCCGCCCGTCCAAGAGCATCAGGCGATAGCTAAACCCCAGTCAACCCATACTACAGCAAAGCCCGACCCAAGATCGCCCGCAAGCACCCTGGAAGGGAACGGCAGCCATCTCTACACTCTGCACTGCAATCAGCCTACTGAAGCACCAACGTGACCAGCGAGGCCAGCCGAATAGAACCGCATCCATCTCTACACTCCGCACTGCCATCAGCACCAACGTGTGACCGGCACGGCCAGCTCCCGAGCCGTACTTAACGGCCCAGCAGCACACCTTCTAGCGACGAGCTACCACATGGAAGCGACCAGCTCGCAGCTTGCGCCAGAATAGGAAGACCAATCATGTGGCCGGAGAGGCCAACCCCCGAGCTGTATGTGCCCAGCAGATCCAAGATGGGAATTCCAATCATGTGGCCTGAGAGATCGGCCTCCAAGCTGTACGCCCAGCAGCCGATCTGATCCCCGACTGTCTAGCCAGCCACGAAACCCGGCAGCTCAGAGGTTGCGCCGATCCTCGACCATCAACCGACCGCCCATCAGTATCGTGATCAGCGTCCTCAAAGAGGCTAACCACAAAAACCCTGACTCAAAACATGACGTATGGGCCGTATTGGCCAGCATCTGGCAGCATAAGATCTGAAATCACACTTGGCGCGTGCCGCGCACCACAAGAAAAGCTCCACAATCGTTTAGAGTTCAGGGTTTGGCATTCAGGATGGTTTAGGGTTTACTCCGTCGAGTTAAGGGTTTAGGGTTTGGGGTTTGGGGTTTAGGGTTTGGGCACGCGCATCGCGCTGCTGGCATGGGAACTGTTCCGGGGTCTTTGGAGTTTATGGTTCAAGGTTTAGGGTTCACGGTTTAGGGTTTCGATTAAGATCTATATGGGGCTACATAGGGGCTACATGCAGGGGCTATATAGGGGCTGTATTCAGGGTTAGGGGTTTCAATAACTAGAAGAATGGAGAATGAAATGGAGCATTAAATGGAAACGGGATTATCTTGGATTTTGAGGTATGGTAATGTAGGGGCCTAGAGAACCAGTATTTGGCTGGGGCGGGGGGGTATAATATGAGGAATGGGGGATTGTTGAGGCAGTGTCCTTGCAGGGTGATGCAAGCATGAGCAAGGCTTGCAGGATACCTCGTTTCTTCTCCACAGGGCTCTATAAATTGACGAACCACCATACTGTACCATGTCTCTACCTAGGTATACTAGGAAGCGCCAGGGGTATCTTTCAAAAAAAGTTGCCACGAAGGGTGTCTACAATAGTAGTTAGAAGTGACTATATGATATTATCCAGTCATGACTTGGGTTTGTCCCACCTACAACCCTCATAAACCACCATGCAATCCCAGTTTCCATATCATTTTCTGCTTTTGTTCGTTGATTCTCCGGTGTGAGTTACCTGCAGACGAAGTTGCAGGGCCAGTTCGCGCATCGCGGCCTTGACGCGAGTGTACTGCTCGGTGTCTGCTTGGAGGCCCTTAGATGTCGGCTGGTTGATCTTAGACCAAGAGCCCATTGATAAAGAGCTTTCGTGTGGCATAGGTTCGCTAAAAACATGCATGCAGATCCCAAGAGGACGAGCTGCAGCCAAGACGATGGCATACTTTTTCATCAGCCTTTGCAGCACATGGGAACAATCGAAGGAAAGATTGAGTCCTAGATCTACAAGTGGGTCAGCCA